TGGGGCTCAGTCTCTGACAGTGATGTTCGAGACAGTGGTTGTGGATTGGGCGCAGACCGGTGGAGTTTGGAGGCTGGGGATGTGGGGCTGGGGCTGAGGGTTGGGGCTGTGGCTCGGGGGCTGGTACCTGGGGCTGGTGGCTGGGGATGGGGTACTGGGGCTGTGACATGGAGGCTAGTGTCACTGGGGCTGGGGCCCAGAATTTGGCGGCTGTAGATTGGTAACTTTGGGTTGGTGCCTGGGATGCTGGGGCTATGGTGTTGGCGATCAGTAGCTGCCTTTTCTTGTTTCGAGCCTGGGGAAATGGTGTGTGGGATGAGGCTTGCTAGTGGTTGGTGGGCTGGTGTGTACGATCTCGGTTCCTGGGGCTGGTGGGCTAGATCTGGGGTGTGTGTTCTGAGTTGTGGGGGCTGGTTGTGGGGGCTGGGGAGCTGGATGGCTTGTTCTGGTGTATGCGCCTGGGATTATTTGGCTTGGGGATGCGGCTGGGTCCTCGGTGATGGTGGTCAAGGTATGTGGGCTGGGTCTGTGGGTCTGATTCTGGGCGTCTCTGGGGCTCTGGGGGCTGGGGCTATGGGTTGGGCCCTGGGGCTTGGCGAATGGTGATTGTTTTGTGGGGCTCGTGGCTTGGGGTTGGGACTGAGACTGAGGGTTGGGATCTGGGGCTGGTGGCTGGATCTGTGAGATGGGGCGAGCGTTCTTGGGCCTGGGGGCCAGTGTGTGGAGGCTGGGGTTCGGGGACTGTGTGACTGTGGATTGGGGCCTGGTGTGCTGGGGGCCGAGGCTTGCCTTGGGGGCTCTCAATTAATTGGGTGAATACGGACATTAATGTTCAACCTCAGCCCCAGTTCATTTCAGATGTGCAGATACCAGGCTGGGTCTGTGCAGATCAGGCCATACCCTGCAACACTGTGTACACCTCCCCTGCTCTCCTCCAAGGCTCTGCTACTTGACTGCCATCAGCGCCTCCATACCTCAGGTTCTGACAGCAACATCCTCGGTCTCCTTTTCAACCCTCAACTGTCCTTCATCTTCCGGTCTGTTTCACGGCCCACTCCTAGTCTTTTCCCACCATTGGCGGGAGAGCCTTCTGCCAGTCAAGCCCCACCTTCTGGAACTGCATCTTGCAGACCCTCCGTCTCACCCATTCCCTTGCCACGTTCAAGACATATCTCAACACCCTTTTCTTTGCCTTCGGGCACACTCCGATGCACCCCCATCCCCACCCGCTCTCCCCGTCCTCCAACGCTCCTCATCCCAATCACCAGCTCTGGTGCAGATCCCTGACTGTCCAGCGCCTTGGGACGTTCTCCTGACTTTAAAGAAGCCGTGAAAATGTAATTTGTTGCTGTAGCTGTCAATCAGTCAGTGTGTGTGTCACTTTCTTTCGCTGTGTGTGTCCGTCTCTCTATCTGTCTGTGTACCTCTGTATCTGTGTGCATGTGTATGTGTGTCTGCGTTTGTCTGTGTATGTGTGTGTGTTTGTCTGTGTGTCTGTTGCGTGACTATATCTGTGTGTGTGTGTGTCTGAGTGTGTGTTTCTGTGTGTGTGTGTGTGCGTGTGCTTTTGTGCGTCTTTGTGTGTATCTGTGTGTGTGTCAGTGTTTATGTGTGTCTGTGTGAGTGCCTGTGAGTGTGTTTCTGTATGTGTGACTGTGTGTGTGTTTGTGTGTGTCTGTGTGTGTAACAGTATGTGAGTGTCTGTGTTTGTGTATGAGTGTATGGGTTTGTATGTGTGTATTTCCCTTTCTATATGTGTATGTGTGTGTCTATGTGTTTGTGTGTGTTTGTGGGTGTACGGGTTGTTTGGTATGTCTGTGTCTCTTTGTGTGTCTGCAAGTGTCTGTCTGTGTGTTTGTCTGTGTATGTGTGTAAAAGTGTGTGTGTATATGTGTGTGTGTTTGTGTGGAGATGTGGAGGTGCAGACACACACCTGGCTTTTCCAGGCCTCAGCGGTCTAGAGTAGACATTTTGTGTTATATGGGCCTGTGACAGCCATGTTGATGATTGGGGATAAATTCGCAAATCACATCACTATCAGAAACTTTCTCAGTCCATCTAGGTGTCTCTGTATCTCTCTCTCTCTCTGTCTGTGTGGATAAATATGTCTATCTCTGTGTCCGTTTATCGCTGTATCTCTCTCTATCTGTTTGTCTGGATCCCTGTTTGTTTATCTCTCTCGCTTTGCTCCGTATATCTCTGTATGTCTCTTTTTTGGGTGTGTGTCTGTCTGCCTCTTATTTCATGTGCGTGTGTTTCTCCATTTCTCTCACTCTGCAAGTTTGTGTGTGTCTGGCATCTCTGAATCTCTCTCTCTCTCTCTTTCTATCTGTCGTTGTGTGTCTCTTTAATCTCGTTCTCTCTTTGTTTATCCCTCTCTCATATTTTTCTCTTTCTCTCTCTCTCTGTTTCTCTTTATGGCTATCCTGCTCGCTCTGGCTGTGTGTGTGAATCTGTCTCTCTCTCCATCTCACTCTTCGAATGTATGAGTCTCTGCATTTCAGTTACTGAGACACACCGTGGCCCACTCAGGCAATGGCGTGTTTACGGAAACGTTGCGTTTTCTTTGTTAATAAAGTTATAAACTGCAGCTCTTACCTTTGTGGGTCTCTGCAAATGCTCTGACTTCTCATTGTCGCCAACGTTGAAGTAGAGAGGGCAGTGTGTGATCTGCTTCGGGCTGTGTGTGATATTATAGTGTATCTGTCTCTCTCTCTGCCTGTGTGTGTCTGTGTGTGCACATCTCTTTATCTCTCGTTCTCTCTCTTTTCTCTCTCTCTCTCTCTCTCTAAGTGTGTGTGTCTATGTATTTCAGTCAGTTACTGTTTATTGAGTCTCACTGAGGACTAGACCGTAAATAATAATAAATATTAATAATCCTTGCATCTAGTACAGTGCCTCATTACGTTTTCGAGACGCCTTAAAGCGCTTCCCAGAAAACGCTATCAAGTGAATTGAATGTATATGTCGTGGGCGATACGCAAAAGCCAATTACGCACAGCAGCGTCCCAAAATCAGTCGTGGATTGAAGTCACCAATTTACCATTGTTTTTTGCAATGGTGTATTTATGGAAACACTGCTGTTTCTCTGTTGATAAAGACATAAACTGCAGGTCTGGGCTGTGTGGGTAACGCAAATTTGGTGACACAAGCGAACTCAATACAACACGGATTTGCAGTTTAAAGTGACCGGATTTACACCAAATTTACGTTCACAACCATCCGATTGTCAGTGAAACAAACGGCCCGAGTTTGAGCTGTTGCTATGTCTGGACGGTATGTTTGAACTGTGTTGGATTTCCATTTTGTTTTTGCCCTTTGTTCTCGAGCTGTGACTGTCAGCAGCAGAGAGGTACAAGAGGCTGTGGGTTCAGCTCTGCACATCCCCTGTGGTTAGTTACCCAGCGACTGGTTTCCTGTCTTTCTGTACAAACAGCGACTCAGATACAGGACAAGAAGCCGAGGGTTCAGTTGTTGACTAAAACACTCTGACTTCTCACTGAGGTCAGTTATAGAGCAGAGAGGGCAGTGGCAACACTGTGTGCTCTGCCTGTCCCGGGCTGTGTGTGTTTATATGTAAGGTGCGAAGTGTGTGTAGTATGTGTGCGTGTGTGTGGTGTGTGTGTGTGTGTGCAGGGAGGGCAGTGTGTGTGTGTAGAGAGGGCAGCGTGTGTGTGTGTGTGTGTGTAAGAGAGAGTAGGGAGGGCAGTGTGTGACTGTGTGTAGGGAGGGGAGTGTGTGTGTCGGGAAGGCACTGTGTGTGCCTGTGTGTGTGTAGGGAGGGCAGTGCGTTTGTGTGTGCGTGTGTGTATGGAGGGCAGTGTATGTGTGTGTGTGTAGAGAGGGCAATGTGTTTTGTGTGTGTGTAGGGAGGGCAGTGTATGTGTGTAGGGAGGGCAGTGTGTGTGTGTGTTTGTAGGGAGGAGAGTGTGTTTGTGTGTGTGTGTAGGGAGGGTAGTGTGTGTGTGTGTGTAGGGAGGGCAGTGTGTGTGTGTGGGGGAGGGCAATATGTTTGTGTGTAGGGAGGGCAATGTGTGTGCGAGTGTGTGGGGGGGAGGGCAGTGTGTGTGTGTGTGTGTTAGTCGGGAGGGCAGTGGGTGTCTGTATGTGTAGGGAGGACAGTGTGTGTGTGTGAGAGAGAGTAGGGAGGGCAGTATGTGACTGTGTGTAGGGAGGGCAGTGTGTGTGTGCAGGGAGAGTAGTGTGTGTGTAGGGAGGGCAGTGTGTGTGTAGTGAAGGCAGTGTGTGTGTCTGTGTGTGTCTAGGGAGGGCAGTGCGTTTGTGTGTGTGTAGGAAGGGCAGTGTATGTGTGCAGGTAGGGCAGTGTGTGTGTGTGTTTGTAGGGAGGACAGTGTGTTTGTGTATGTGTGTGTAGGGAGGGTAGTGTATGTGTGTGTGTTGGGAGGGCAGTGTGTGTGTGGGGGGAGGGCAATATAATAATAATCCTTGCATTTGATATAGCGCTTTTCACGTCAGGAGGACGTCCCAAAACGCTTCACAGAACACACTGTAAAGTGAATTGACTGTATATTTGTGGGCGAACGCGGCAGCCAATTGCGCACAGCAATGTCCTACAAACAGTCGTAGATTGAAAATGACCAATTTAATTATTGTTTTTGGTTTTTGGAGGGATTATTATTAGGCGTGTGGAGTAAGGAAACTTGCCCAAGGTTTCGCCCTCTGCCTGGAATTGAACTCAGGTCTCTCGCTTGCAAAGCGAGTGCTCTAACCACTGAGCTACAGGACTCCACAATATGTTTGTGTGGGTGTGTGTAGGGAGGGCCGTGTGTGTGTGAAGGGAGGGCAATGTGTTTGTGTGCGTGTGTGTAGGGAGGGCAGTTTGTGTGTGTGTTGGAAGGGCAGTGTGTTTGTATGAGTGTTTCTGTCTATGGAGGGCAATGTGTTTGTGTGTGTAGGGATGGCAATGTGTGTGTGTGTAGGGAGGGCAATGTGTTTGGTTGTGTGTGTGTGTGTAGGGAGGGCATTGTGTGTGTGTGTGCGTAGGGAGGGCAGTGTGTGTGTGTGTTTGTAGGGTGGGCAGTGGCCACACTGTGTGCTCTGCTTGTCTCGGGCTGTGTGTGATACCAGCACCATTGAAGTGTATCTGTGTCAGTATATTTCTGTCTGTGTTTTGTGGTGTATCTCGCTCTATGTGTCTGTCTGTCGGTGTATGACGGTGTGTATGCCTGTACCTATCTCTCTCTCTCTCTGGCTTTGTGTATGCAAATTGTTATAGGAACTGGAGTCAACCAGGGTTCAGTGAGGAGGCTCTGTCAGCAGAAACGTGGCAGACAGTGGCTCAAACGGTTACCGTTTCTAAAGCAGAACCAGCGAGTGAACACCCGGAGGTTGACAGACTGATAGAGAGAGAGAGAGAGACGCCAAAGACGGGAATCACCCCCAGCAACAACTGGACATAGAGAGCAACAGGAAGGTAGGCTCAGGGCATCAATTACCTCAACGCCACTTACTTCAATGTTCAATTTCAGCACCAGCACTTTACTTATGCAGATTTGTGGGGTCCTGTAGTTTTCATCAACAACAACTTGCATTCGCACAGCGGCCTTCCCACGAGGTAACGCCCAGGGTCGCTTCAGAGTGGCGGAGCCAGACCCCCAACCAGGGGAGAGGAAGGGAATAGGTAAGGTCTATCCTGATCGGAAATGAAGGTCTTTACGATGCATTTGAAGGTGGGGAGCGAGGGGCGAGGCAACCCTGCTCGGGTCATGACCCAACTGTGCAGCGAGGCGAATGGATGGTGGGAGAGATTTCCAGATTTTCCACAGCCACCGATGGTGGAATGGTGGCCACGTGGGAAAAATTTGTGGCCGGAAATAGCCACGTGGATGCAGCGGGTAGTGGGGTGGGCAGTGAGCAGAGCAGAGAAGTAGGGAGGGACGAGGGAACTAAGTCATTTGCAAACGAATGAGAGCATCTTGAAGTCAAAGTTGAAAGCGTAGTGGTTGAAGCACTCTGCTCGTAATCGAGTAACTAGGTACGGTTCCCGCAAAGGGCAAAAACTTAGGCAAGTTTTCTCATTCAACGCTCCTCACACCCCCACATACACACGAGTACCTCTGTTTATACAATAATATATAATAATAATAATCCTTGTATTTGGCTTTGCGCCTCCTCGCGTCTTCTACGCGTCTGAAAGCGCTTCACAGATTACAGTATAAGATGAACTGAATCTCAAAGAATATAATGTAAGGTCAACTTGTTATATTTCTGGTCAAAATGCGGCAGCTAATTGTGCACAGCAGTGACCGCACAAACATTGCTATAGACAATGCAGGCAATGAATCCATAGAACACAAATCAATAGAAAATATGGAGATTCTGCAAATCCATCACTCATTCACAAACGTTTATCTAGCAAGTGAGTAAAAACCTGTTTGTTAGTTGATTGCTGGGTCGCTTTCTGAGAGTAATAATCCCTTTACTCTCTGTGTCTGTGTGTCTGTATCTCCCTCTATTTGTTTGTATGTATCAGTATCGCTCCCCTTCTCTTTTAATCTCTCTCTGTTTAGCTCTCTTTGTCGGTGTGCTTAAGTGTCTGTATATATGTGTCTCTCTCGGCGTCTGTATGTATATTTGCAATTCCCTCCTTGTGCCTGTATGTTTATAGCAGTATCTCTCTTTGTGTCTCTGGTGTATTTCTCTCTGTCTAACTCTATGTGTGTGGGTATGTCTTTGTATCACTCTCTCTATGTCACACTCTGTCTCTCTCTCTCTCTCTCTCTACTCTCTCTCTCTCTCCATGTGTATTTGCATATCTCTGTTAAAGTTTTACTGAGTTTCACTGAGGGTCAGAGAGGAAATGGTTTATTTCTGGAAACGCTGCTGTTTCTCTGTTAATGCAGATACAAACTGCAGATGTTTGCTCTGTGGGTATCGACGCGATTGTGGTGACAAGAAATAATTCAATACAACTTGGGTTTGCGGCACAAACTAATAGGGTTTATAACAAAACTACGTTCTCAACCGTCCAATTGTCAATGACACAAACCGCACCAGATTGAGCTGTTGCTATATACTTGTGATGTGCTGTAGCTGTGGTTTATTTCCAAGCTGTTTTTGCTCTTTGCTCTCGAGCTGTGACGGTCAGCAGCAGAGAGGTACAAGAGACTCTGCACGTACCTGCGGTTAGTTACCCCGAGCCTAGTTTCCTGTCTTTTTGTACAAACAGAGATTGAGATGCAGAACAAGAAGTCGGGGATTTTTGTTTTGGTCTTGACTGAAAACCCCTTGACTTCTCACTAAAGCCAGTCATGGAACAGGGAGGGCGTTGGCCACACTGTGTGCTCAGCCTTTCCTGGACTACGTTTGTGGTGTATCTGTGTATGGAGGGCAATGTCTAACTTGCGCTCTGCCTGTCCCGGGCTGACTGCGTGTGTATGTGTAGGGAGGGCAGTGCCCATACTGTATGCTTAGCCTGCCCCGGGCTGTGTGTGTGTGTATGTGTAGGGAGGGCATTGCCCACACTGTATGCTCAGCCTGTTCCTTGCTTTGTAACACCAGCAACATTAATTCATCTACTCCTGAAAATCACCTGTTGGTCTACATCCGCCTCCAACTGTCTTCCAAAGCCCAATCCAGCCTGAGAACTAATTCCAACATTGGGCCAAGCAAACCCCTACCGTAAACAACCGCAAAACCTCCACCCGCCACTCGACCACTTAGCCCCTACCCTCTCCCCCTTCCTGCATATTTCGCGACCATTTTCTCTGACCTCTCCACTCTCTGTCCAAAAAGAACAACTTGGATTTATATAGCGCCCTCCTCCCAGGAGAGCGTCTCAGAGCGCTTTACAGTTTAGGATCCCGGGACCGAGCAAGGGGGAAGGGGGTGGAAAGTGACCAAAGGCGCGTTCGAAAAGAAAGATCTTAAGCAGAGACCTGAAAATGGGAAGGGAGGGAACGAGACGAAAGGAGTGAGAAAGGCAGTTCCAGAGACTCGGGGCGTTGGGGCTGAAGGCACGGCCACCGAGGGTGGACCAGAAGATTCCAGGGATGAGGAGGAGGCCAGTCACGGAGAAACGAAGGCAACGGGTGCTGTTTTGAGGATAGAGGAGGTCAGAGATGTCGGGGTGTGCAGAGGAGTGGACGGATTTGAATACGTGGTTGAGGATCTTGCAGTGGATCTTGTCTAATAGAGGGAGCCAGTGCAGTCTGGCCAGGACTGGGGTGATCGGGGAGCAGAGTTTGGTGCGGGTGAGTTCGTTGACGTAGAGGTCTGAATGAGTTGGATTTTATGGATGGCAGTGGAGGGGAGGCCGGCGAGGAGGGCGCTGGACTAATCCAGCCGAGAAGTGACAAAGGCATAGACCGGAGTTCCAATGGGCACTGCCCACATCTCCCTCCCCAACGCCAGCCTCCGATCACTCCCCTCAACCGCTCCCCCTACTGCTCCCCTCCTGTTTACTGTGTCTCGCCCACATCCTACGCACATTGTCGCCCCCGACCCCAACTCCCCCACGACCACTTCCGCCGCCTGCCTATTCACTCCCCACCCTCGTAATGCCTCCCCACCCAGTACCCTCAACGCCGACTTCCCCCCGCCCACTCCACCACCCTTGCCCACTCCCCCACGCCCACCATCTCAGATCCCAGCCTCCTTGTGCCTCGCCGTCTAACCGGAAAAATACCCCCACGCACCAACCACCGCTAACTAACCCCCTGAGTCCACTTTGTGTTGTTTCTCATATTCTCTCTAGTCTCTCTGACTCTGGATGTTGAATCAGCCCATCCCGACATGTCAGAGCACTGGGGGAATTTCAAGTTAATACTTTATTATTCGAAGCAATACAAACTTCTGCAAAGATAGAGCGCGATAGTGGCAACTTATTACGTGAATTAGCAGAATTTTGCGAATATTTATTTAATCCAGTAATGTTTGCAGCTGTGATATCAGAGACTTTAGCTATGCTCATAATTTATCAGAAAACTACCAGTAATGAGAGTTACAGTTCAAGTATTCCACTTGAGGACAAATATATGTATTAACACTGGAGTATCTATCATCAGCTCAAAGCTATTTCTGGAGAAAACGAAACAAAATTGCGTTTCTCTAATTGCATTGCCAGTTATTTTAAAACAGCAAGTGACTTTAGCAGCGCGCTTTTTAAACAGGGGACCATCGCAAGTCGTTGTCCAGTCAGGGATTTGTACCCGAGTTCGGGGTTGGATTCGGGAAGGGTGGAGGGCAGATAGCGTGTGGATAAGTGTGTGAGTGATGGCGTCTTTCGTCAAAGAGGAGGGTACTGAGACGTGGCTTGCAGAAGTGGATGGAGGGGTAATGCCGATGGTGCCGGATTGAGTTTCAGAGGATGGGGACAGAGTGGCTGGTGAAATGACCGCCAATCACAGTGCAGGTCCATCAGGGGAAAAGCTACACTTTCTAACAAACTTTCATTTGCTCGCCTCTGTCTCTTTAACCAAGCTGTATCATTCTGCATTTGAAAACTCAGCATCAGCTTGACAGACAGAACGACAGACAGCCAGACAGACAGATAGACAGAACGACAGACAGACAGACAGACAGACAGAGCTGAACTTTCTGCATGTTGGCACAACAGATACACGGTATGGCATGGAATGATCCAAGGAACAGGTTACTCCACCCAAATATTTCACACCACCTTCTGCCCCCACATCTAGTATTCGCTTTTCACACACACCTCTTTTAACTTCTCAACTCACCAAGTTCTCTTTTAAATAATCTGACCTTTTTACTTCAATTGCAGATTTTGGCAACTCGTTCCGCAGTCTCCTCACACTCTGTGAGTAAAGGTATCCATCTATACTTCCCGATTAATCAAATAAACAAGAACATTATCTTCGTTGCCTTTGAGAAAGCAACATCCACATCAGGACTTTTTAAATCATTTCTCAACCTGTATTGAAAAGTCAGCTCTCTTTAGTGACGACCCGCTTATTAATCACCTAATCATTGGTATCCACATGTACGTGGCCCCCTCTCAATCTGGGTATAAAACTTCGAAACTTTCTTGATTACTGTATCCATTCATCCTGGTAACTTCCCAGTAAATCTATAATCTTTGAAACACTGCAGAACATCAACCTTCATTCCTATTGTTTGTTTTCTATTTTGCAGCTTTCAACCAAGCTGTTCTGCTGCCTCTAACTTGTGTTTTGCCTTAAAATAAATGCAAAATGCCATTTGTAAAGCATCCCACGATGGGTAAATTGACTTCCTTCTGTGCTGTATAATTCTATGATTCAATAATGTACCCCGGTATGGTGCGCCTGGGTTTCCACACCGCCTCTCATGCAGCAGTTTGTCAAGCGCTGCCTGGAAATCCAAATACACAATTTCGCAAAGCATTGCCTTCATTTACACTTTTAGATCCTATTTCAGAGCCACGTAATAGTTGCTGTCAGAGTATGTGTTGGCGTAACTGTTGGATTGTCA